TTATATTTAAGATTCTTCAAAGTAGCCACCCTTTGCCTTGATGACAGCTTTGCACACTCTTGGCATTCTCTCAACCAGCTTCATGAGGTAGTCACCTGGAATGTATTTCAATTAACAGGTGTGCCTTCTTAAAAGTTAATTTGTGGAATTTCTTTCCTTCTTATTGCGTTTGAGCCTATCAGTTGTGTTGTGACAAGGTAGGGTTAGTATACAGAAGATAGCCCTATTTGGTAAAAGACCAAGTCCATATTACGGCAAGAACAGCTCAAATAAGCAAAGAGAAACGACAGTGCATCATTACTTTAAGACATGAAGGTCAGTCAATATGGACAATTTCAAGAACTTTGAAAGTTTCTACAAGTGCAGTCGCAAAAACCATCAAGTGCCATGATAAAACTGGCTCTCATGAGGACCGCCACAGGAAAGGAAGACCCAGAGTTACCTCTGCTGCAGAGGATAAGTTTATTAGAGTTACCAGCCTCAGAAATTGCAGCCCAAATAAATGATTCACAGAGTTCAAGTAACAGACACATCTCAACATCAACTGTTCAGAGGAGACTGCGTGAATCAGACCTTCATGGTCGAACTGCTGTAAAGAAACCACTACTATTTTTTTTATTTTTTTTATTTCACCTTTATTTAACCAGGTAAGCCAGTTGAGAACAGGTTCTCATTTACAACTGCGACCTGGCCAAGATAAAGCATAGTAGTGCAATAAATAAAAAAACACAGAGTTACATATGGGGTAGAAAACATAAAGTCAGAAATACAACAGAAAATATATATACAGTGTGTGCAAATGTAGCAAGTTATGGAGGTAAGGCAGTAAATAGGCTATAGTGCAGAATAATTACAATAGTATTAACACTGGAATGCTAGATGTGCAAGAGATTATGTGCAAATAGAGATACTGGGGTGCAAAAGAGCAAAATAAATAACAATATAGGGATGAGGTAGTTGGGTGGGCTAATTTCAGATGGGCTGTGTACAGGTGCAGTGATCGGTAAGGTGCTCTGACAACTGATGCTTAAAGTTATTGAGGGAGATAAGAGTCTCCAGCTTCAGAGATTTTTGCAATTCGTTCCAGTCATTGGCAGCAGAGAACTGGAAGGAATGGCGGCCAAAGGAGGTGTTGGCTTTGGGAATGACCAGTGAGATATACCTGCTGGAGCGCAGACTACGGGTGGGTGCTGCTATGGTGACCAATGAGCTAAGATAAGGCGGGGATTTGCCTAGTAGTGATTTATAGATGGCCTGGAGCCAGTGGGTTTGACGACGAACATGTAGTGAGGACCAGCCAACAAGAGCGTACAGGTCACAGTGGTGGGTAGTGTATGGGGCTTTGGAGACAAAACGGATGGCACTGTGATAGACTACATCCAATTTGCTGAGTAGAGTGTTGGAGGCTATTTTGTAAATGACATCACCGAAGTCAAGGATCGGTAGGATAGTCAGTTTTACGAGGGCATGTTTGGCAGCATGAGTGAAGGAGGCTTTGTTGCGAAATAGGAAACCGATTCTAGATTTAACTTTGGATTGGAGATTCTTTATGTGAGTCTGGAAGTTGAGTTTACAGTCTAACCAGACACCTAGGTATTTGTAGTTGTCCACATACTCTAGGTCAGACCCGTCAAGAGTGGTGATTCTAGTCGGGTGGGCGGGTGCCAGCAGCGTTCGATTGAAAAGCATGCATTTAGTTTTACTAGTGTTTAAGAGCAGTTGGAGGCTACTGAAGGATTGTTGTATGGCATTGAAGCTCATTTGGAGGTTTGTTAACACAGTGTCCAATGAAGGGCCAGATGTATACAAAATGGTGTCGTCTGCGTAGAGGTGGATCTGAGAGTCACCAGCAGCAAGAGCGACATCATTGATATACACGGAGAAAAGTGTCGGCCCAAGAATTGAACCCTGTGGCACCCCCATAGAGACTGCCATAGGTCCAGACAACAGGCCCTCCGATTTGACACACTGAACTCTATCTGAGAAGTAGTTGGTGAACCAGGCGAGGCAGTCATTTGAGAAACCAAGGCTATTTAGTCTGCCAATAAGAAAGGACACCAATAAGAAGAAGAGACTTGCTTGCGCCAAGAAACACAAGCAATGGACATTAGACCGGTGGGAATCTGTCCTTTGGTCTGATGAGTCCAAATTTGAGATTTTTGGTTCCAACCGCCGTGTCTTTGTGAGACGCAGAGAAGGTGAACGGATGATCTCTGCATGTGTGGTTCCCACCGTGAAGCATGGAGGAGGAGGTGTGATGGTGTTATGGTGTGGGGGTGCTTTGCTGGTGACACTGTCTGTGATTAATTTAGAATTCAAGGCATAATTAACCAGCATGGCTACCACATCATTCTGCAGCGATACGCCATCCCATCTGGTTTGCGCTTAGTGGGACAATCATCTGTTTTTCAACAGGACAATGACCCAATACACCTCCAGGCTGTGTAAGGGCTATTTGACCAAGAAGGAGAGCGATGGAGTGATACATCAGATGACCTGGCCTCCACAATCACCCAACCTCAACCCAATTGAGATGGTTTGGGATGAGTTGGACCTCAGAGTGAAGGAAAAGCAGCCAACAAGTGCTCAGCATATGTGGGAACTCCTTCAAGCTAGCTAGCTAACTTTATAGCATATATCTTACCTGGATTTCAATTTCTGCTGGTATCTTGACCTGCGCGGCGACGTCCTTCAGTGGTTGGTATAGTTGTTTTCTTCATATATGTATTTTACCAAGGATTTTTCTTGTTGTTAGTGGTTTACAGAAGTACTCATCAGACAAATGCTCGCTACAAACCCGTAGATCCAACGCACAAAGTCTCTGGATGGGAGTGTTTATGCGTCTTTGCAGAACAACTAGCCAAAAAAAGTACATCTGGGTCATCCAAAGGAAGTCCGTTAAAAGTTATCAGAATGTGTTTTCTCATTGCATTGTCGCATGTTGAGATTGCACATCTGCAAACCATTTTCAACAATATTCAGCAAATAACCTAACAACAAATCCTACTTCAGTCTCCTTGTCTAAACGCCTGGATGGTCTTGTGAGTGACTGACTGACAACGTAACTAGTTAGTTAGCTACCTAGTACCAGTGCCGGTAGCATGCCCCATATTTACACGTACACAGTAGCGAGAGTAACAAGGAAGTACATGCATGCCAGGAATTATCGCTCCAGTTCAACAAAATGGATTATGACGTTGTGGATAAAGTTCGGCATGACACAATGTAATGTGTACAACATCTGAAGACCTGCATCATGAAATACGTATTTTGGTGTTATTGTTAATTATTTTTCGAAAATCGAAAAAAAAAGTGTCTGAAACTTCTAAAACATGCAATTTACATTTAAAATACAGCTCAGGGTCCTAAATTGTGAAATTCTCCTTTAAATCTGATGTTAACCAGGGGTGGCAGGTAGCTTAGTGGTTATGAGCATTGTGCCAGTAACCGAAAGGTCGCTGGTTCTAATCCCCGAGCCGACTAGGTGAAGAATCTGTCGATGTGCCCTTGAGCAAGGCACTTAACCCTAATTGCTCCTGTAAGTGTCTGCTAAATGACTAAAATGTAATGTCATCAAGCAGGCACCAACTCACGTCAACATAAAGCTCCAACCCATTAATATGGAACAATATCACCACGAACACTCCCTCCCACGCATGTGATTAACAATAGAATATACATACATTTACACTTGAAAGCCGAGAAGGGCCTGGTGCACATTGGATTAATGTGATACAGATTTCAAAATAATGATTTACTATCTCATAATTATGAGTTACTATTTTATAATTATCTCATAACTCGTAGTCAGATTATTTTGTGGGGGTGGCGGGAACGGGCTTCCATATCTGCGTCTACTAGCGGTAACCGAGTGAACAAATGAAAGCGAAGCAGTCTCGAAATGGATGCAGGTAGTTACAGCTAAGTTTCTGTTTCTTTTTTGGAAGCAATACTTCACTACTTCACGTTTAGTTAGGATTACATTACTTGGTCATTATACATAAGCTATATGTAAAACCTATCTGAGCATAGGCTCAGAAAAAAAACACAAAATATCGAAGTGTGTTCTAATGGCGAAGTTTTTCCTTGTACTTTTTCTTACTTCCTGGTTGCAACATATTTTTCCTCAGCCTACCAAACTCACTGACAATGTTGAGATTTGACTTTGGCACGAAGATTACGCCAAATCGCTCATATGGATTGGCAACATTTTCCTTGGAATAGACAAATTAAAAGTGTCGGAATGTCAATGGAAGACAGAGGTTGTCTGCGAAAGTCCAGAGAAAAAGAGACAAACTGATTTAATACATTTCCAACCATGGAAATCGAGAATGGTGCCGTGAGAGAAGGTGACGTCGAGCAATGTTTTTGGTCAATCACTATTTGTTATATCACTTTTCTATAATGGTTGGTATTAATAATTACAAATTTGACCAACTCGACAATATTGGTTTTAGTCATACATCATTGGTTTTAGTTTAGCCAAGAGTATTACAGTATTTACAGTTTGAAGGATTTTATCAAGTGCGCATACTGGTCGAAATAAATTGACTGCCATTGTAATTCGTTAGCAGCGAGAATAATGCGTTCACATGGGCGAGACTCTAGCTATCAATCCAGATAATGCATTTTAATCATTGGTAAAACATTTTTTTTATTTTTGCATAAATATTTTTATATAGTTTTTTAACAATATGCTCACCAATGTTAGACCTACCTCAAAATATATATGTAGAATATAATCAATATGGTTGTTAAAAGTGCAAGACACCTAGAATATAATGAAATAGAATGGAATATAATAGAAAATAATAATTGAATATATCAATATGTCATTTACAAATGCAATATGCATAGAATAGAATATATCAGTATGGTAGTAATAAACACAAGATGCATAGAATATAAAATAAAATGCATGGCACCTTTTGGTAAAAACAGAACGAGTTTGCAACTCTACAGTAGTCATTTTTTAACCTTGTTCCTGTTGCAACTTCCAGGTGTGTTGGTACCTGTGCTACCAGGTTCGAAGAACTTCGACAAAAGCATTCGGCCTCCACTGCAAAACTCGTACATGTACAAGGAGTCTAAGCAGTCTTTCAGATACAACTCTGCTTTCTTGATAAACAATGATACTCTGCAGGAACGGGTCAGTATTTCATTATAGTACATGGTAAACTTTGGTGTACGGTACCCCGGCCTTGACTCTGCCCATAGAGTCCAGTGTATAGTATCTGTGCAATACTTAGTACAGGATAGTATATGTACTATTACATGATAATGTCTGTGTAATACTTGACAGTACATGCTAGTATATGTACTGTTACATATCTGTGTAATACTTGATAGTATATTTGTGTATTACTTAAGTTGTTTTGTGCTGTCCATTCAGTCATTAAGTACATATTTACAGTGGGGGGGAAAAGTATTTAGTCATCCACCAATTGTGCAAGTTCTCCCACTTAAACAAATTAGAGAGGCCTGTAATTTTCATCATAGGTACACATCAACTATGACAGACAAATTGAGAGAAAAAAATCCGGAAAATCACATTGTAGGATTTTTAATGAATTTATTTGCAAATTATGGTGGAAAATAAGTATTTGGTCACCTACAAACAAGCAAGATTTCTGGCTCTCACAGACCTGTAACTTCTTCTTTAAGAGGCTCCTTTGTCCTCCACTCATTACCTGTATTAATGGCACCTGTTTGAACTTGTTATCAGTATAAAAGACACCTGTCCACAACCTCAAACAGTCACACTCCAAACTCCACTATGGCCAAGACCAAAGAGCTGTCAAAGGACACCAGAAACAAAATTGTAGACCTGCACCAGGCTGGGAAGACTGAATCTGCAATAGGTAAGCAGCTTGGTTTGAAGAAATCAACTGTGGGAGCAATTATTAGGAAATGGAAGACATACAAGACCACTGATAATCTCCCTCGATCTGGGGCTCCACGCAAGATCTCACCCCGTGGGGTCAAAATGATCACAAGAACGGTGAGCAAAAATCCCAGAACCACACGGGGGGACCTAGTGAATGACTTGCAGAGAGCTGGGACCAAAGTAACAAAGCCTACCATCAGTAACACACTACGCCGCCAGGGACTCAAATCCTGCAGTGCAAGACGTGTCCCTCTGCTTAAGCCAGTACATGTCCAGACCCGTCTGAAGTTTGCTAGAGTGCATTTGGATGATCCAGAAGAGGATTGGGAGAATGTCATATGGTCAGATGAAACCAAAATAGAACTTTTTGGTAAAAACTCAACTCGTCGTGTTTGGAGGACAAAGAATGCTGAGTTGCATCCAAAGAACACCATACCTACTGTGAAGCATGGGGGTGGAAACATCATGCTTTGGGGCTGTTTTTCTGCAAAGGGACCAGGACGACTGATCCGTGTAAAGGAAAGAATGAATGGGGCCATGTATCGTGAGATTTTGAGTGAAAACCTCCTTCCATCAGCAAGGGCATTGAAGATGAAACGTGGCTGGGTCTTTCAGCATGACAATGATCCCAAACACACCGCCCGGCAACGAAGGAGTGGCTTCGTAAGAAGCATTTCAAGGTCCTGGAGTGGCCTAGCCAGTCTCCAGATCTCAACCCCATAGAAAATCTTTGGAGGGAGTTGAAAGTCCGTGTTGCCCAGCGACAGCCCCAAAACATCACTGCTCTAGAGGAGATCTGCATGGTCTGTCATAGTTGACGTGTACCTATAATGAAAATTACAGGCCTCTCTCATCTTTTTAAGTGGGAGAACTTGCACAATTGGTGGCTGACTAAATACTTTTTTCCCCCAACTGTACATCATAAAAGCAATTAACTTAATGTCAGTAGGATGTTGTTTTTATTTAAATGTTTTACTCTTATTATTATCTGTCCTGGTGCCTAGTCATTTTACCCCTGCCTATGTACATATCTACCTCAAATACCGTACCTCAAATGATCTGGTACCGGTACTCCCTGTATATAGCTTTATTCTTGTGTATTCTATTCCTCTTGTGTTATAATTTTTTATTTGTCTTATTTTTAACTCTGCATTGTTGGGAAAGGGCTCTTAAGTAAGCATTTTACGGTAAAATCTGCACCTGTTTTATTCGGTGCATGTGACAAATACAATATTATTTTATTTGAGATAGGCTAAACTCTTGTTTGTTTTTTGATAGTATGAGGCCTTCCGAACAAAGAGGAGAGACATGGGATACTCAGAGGAGGAACTGGAGGAGTCCTATGGCTTCTTGCTGTTTGACGACGAAAATAAGGTAACAAGTAAATAATTCAATGATGACCCGCGTAATATCTCACACGAATGTTTATAGCCATTTATACATCTCTATCTCTGTAGAACACTTAAAAGGCAAATACACACAATGTATTCTCCCAAAACATTTATTTTATGGAGAAACCCATATCTAACTTTGTGTCATAGAAAACGACCTCAAAAACATCGTAATCAAAGTTACTGGTCTCTAATAATCACTATTCTTCTATTCTAAAGGCAAATAAAGTGGGAGAAACTGGTGTTGTCCCTGGACACAGCACATGCTCAACGCTTGGAGATCCTTCAAAGGGTAAATGAGCTGCGCCATATTGAGTAAATAACGAGATATCAGACAAGACGCCTGGGTTTTCAGTTCCACAGCACGGAAGTTAAATACACTAGGACAAAGTCAATAACAAGAACAGCCTGTCTTGGGTTAAGGAAAACTGGTTTGAACTATTTCAACTGAAACCTTTTCACGTCATCGAACAAGGCCTCAACTAAACAATGGGGCAGTTCTAAGCTTTTACATGTTAAATATAGAGGGAACTCACATACTACATGACATGGAGTGGTCTCTAGCCACGCCCCTAAACTAATGCTATTTGAGTGTGCACTATACGACTAAAGACAAGTCAAAGCATAAGTAGTGAGATTTAAAGAAGTTTGCTTACTTAGATAATGGTGTACTGTTTCAGGTGTACTGTTTCAGGTGTATTGTTTTAGGTGTACTGTTTCAGGTATACTGTTTCAGGTGTACTGTTTCAGGTGTACTGTTTCAGGTGTATTGTTTCAGGTGTATTGTTTCAGGTGTATTGTTTCAGGTGTACTGTTTCAGGTGTACTGTTTCAGGTGTACTGTTTCAGTACATTTCTGGTCAAGTGTCGCTCTGCTTTTGAAAATGAAACTGCTTTACAGACATGACAGTGTAAAGAGAAAGTGGAAGGAGAGACCAGTGAAACTTAACTCTAGTAGTGTTTGCTAGGACCAGAGAGTAGCGTTAGTCAATACTTAGGGGCCTGCAGTAAAAATGTTTGAATGATGGAGAAATTAGATTTTACCTGGGGCGGCAGGTAGCTTAGTGGGTAAGAGCGTTGTGCCAGTAACCGAAACGTCGCTGGTTCTAATCCCCGAGCCGACTAGGTGAAACATCTGTCGATGTGCCCTTGAGCAAGGCACTTAACCCTAATTGCTCCTGTAAGTTGCTCTGGATAAGAGCGTCTGCAAAATGACAATGAGGGAGAATTCTACTTTATCAACAGATTATTAGGAATGTTATGAGAGTTTAGCTCTGAACTTACATACAATGAAACTCTGGTAAATATCTTTCTTTGTTTGAAGTTAGAATTCCTCAATAGAAGTATACGCTACTTCAGGTTACACAGTGAGCAAGCCTGTGTGCGGGGGCAGGCCCTAGTGGAAAAGGGGGAGGGTGGTGTAAGATTGTCTACGGTTGGACAAAGTCAGCTATTTTTTTATCTACTAGGCCCAGATTGAGATAACTGCCGTAGTTATGGAGGAAGGAAACAGTGGTCAAAGTCCTTGTGTGGACTAGTGTTCTGTTTCGTCACCTTCAAAGTTTACAGTTCTAGATGTGTATGAGATCGCCATAGAAACCCTGTAAGTGTTTAAGCATATTTTTTTCTGTAGCAGTATAAGAGGACTTTTTGTCAGCCCTTTTCATTCACTTATTGTTTCTTCACTTGTCACTTCTTATGTGCTTCAACTCGTTTTTCCTGTTTTGTCACCGGTAGGAGAATCAACATGATACAGGTTTCTTTGCTTAGATTAAATGATAAGGAAAGGGAACATCTAACCACATATCCGTAGCATGTACAGTTGAAGTCGGAAGTTTACATAGACCTTAGCCAAATACATTTAAACTCAGTTTTTCACAATTCCTGACATTTAATCCTAGTAAAAAATCCCTGTCTTAGGTCAGTTAAGATCACCACTTTATTTTAAGAATGTGAAATGTCAGAATAATAGTAGAGAGAATTATTTATTTCAGCTTTTATTCCTTTCATCACATTCCCAGTGGGTCAGAAGTTTACATACACTCAATTAGTATTTGGTAGCATTGCCTTTAAATTGTTTAACTTGGGTCAAACGTTTCGGGTAGCCTTCCACAAGCTTCCCACAATAAGTTGGGTGAATTTTGGCCCATTCCTCCTGACAGAGCTGGTGTAACTGAGTCAGGTTTGTAGGCCTCCTTGTTCGCACACACTTTTTCAGTTCTGCCCACACATGTTCTATAGGGTTGAGGTCAGGGCTTTGTGATGGCCACTCCAATACCTTGACTTTGTTGTCCTTAAGCCATTTTGCCACAACTTTGGAAATATGCTTGGGGTCATTGTCCATTTGGAAGACCCATTTGCGACCAAGCTTTAACTTCCTGACTGATGTCTTGAGATGTTGCTTCAATATATCCACATCATTTTCCTTCCACATGATGCCATCTATTTTGTGAAGTGCACCAGTCCCTCCTGCAGCAAAGCACCCCCACAGCATGATGCTGCCACCCCCATGCTTCACGGTTGGGATGGTGTTCTTCAGCTTGCAAGCACCCCCTTTTTCCTCCAAACATAACGATGGTCATTATGGCCAAACAGTTCTATTTTTGTTTCATCAGACCAGAGGACATTTCTCCAAAAAGTACGATCTTTGTCCCCATGTGCAGTTGCAAACCGTAGTCTGGCTTTTTTATGGCGGTTGTGGAGCAGTGGCTTCTTCCTTGCCGAGCGGCCTTTCAGGTTATGTCGATATAGGACTCGTTTTACTGTGGATATAGATACTTTTGTACCTGTTTCCTCCAGCATCTTCACAGGGTCCTTTGCTGTTGTTCTGGGATTGATTTGCACTTTTCGCACCAAACTATGTTCATCTCTAGGAGACAGAACGCGTCTCCTTCCTGAGCGGTATGACGGCTGCGTGGTCCCATGGTGTTTATACTTGCGTACTATTGTTTGTACAGATGAACGTGGTACCTTCAGGCGTTTGGAAATTGCTCCCAAGGATGAACCAGACTTGTGGAGGTCTACAATTGTCTTTTCTGAGGTCTTGTCTGATTTCATTTGATTTTCCCATGATGTCAAGCAAAGAGGCACTGAGTTTGAAGGTAGGCCTTGAAATACATCCACAGGTACACCTCCAATTGACTCAAATGATGTCAATTAGCCTATCAGAAGCTTCTAAAGCCATGACATCATTTTCTGGAATTTTCCAAGCTGTTTAAAGGCACAGTCAACTTCATGTATGTAAACTTCTGACCCACTGGAATTGTGATACAGTGAATTATAAGTTAAACAATCTGTCTGTAAACAATTGTTGGAAAAATTACTTGTGTCATGCACAAAGTAGATGTCCTAACCGACTTGCCAAAACTATAGTTAGTTAACAAGAAATGTGTGGAGTGGTTGAAAAACGAGTTTTAATGACTCCAACCTAAGTGTATGTAAACTTCCGACTTCAACTGTACCTGTGTGCCACAAGACTGTGTTAGCCTGCTGTGCGAAAGCCTAGGCATTAGCTTAGGGAGCCAACAAGTTCATAATCTGTGTGTGGTGCCAATTCTGCCAAACCCCTCAGTTAAATTATGCAGTGTTGGAACTGTAAACCAATAAACCTATAAAAAAACAGTGTGAGGTTTCACAGCCTCTTCCAAATTTCTCACTTCTGCATTAACTGGCTGTGTGTTGGGCTTGGCAGTTGGCACCAAAGTATTGGAAGTCCTACGCATTGAAAATATCTTAGACCAGGGGTGTCAAACATACGGCCCGAACTCAATACTCAATATACTACAATATAACACATTCACCAATTAACCAAATCCCTTTGGCTGTGTGATGCATTTATTCAATAAAAAGAATAGGGGAAAGTGGGGTATGTTTAGCCATTTTTTCACTCAGCATATAGTATTCTTTCTAACAAAGATATCTGTACTGAACAAAAATATAAGCGCAACATGTAAAGTATTGGTCCCATGTTTCATGAGCTGAAATAAAATATCCCACATTTTCAATACGCACAAAAAGCTTATTTACCTCAAATTTGATTCTCAAATTTGTTTACATCCCTGTTAGTGAGCATTTCTATTTTGCCAAGATAATCCATTCACCTGACAGGTGTGGCATATCAAGAAGCTGATTAAACAGCATGATTATTACACAGGTGCACCTTGTGCTGGGGACAGTAAAAAGCCACTCTAAAATGTGCAGTTTTGTCACACAACACAATGCCACAGATGTCTGAAGTTTTGAGGGAGCATGCAATTGGCATGCTGACTGCAGGAATTTCCACCAGAGCTGTTACCAGATAAATTAATGTTCATTTCTCTACCATAAGCCTCCTCCAACATCGTTTTAAAGAATTTGTCAGTACGTCCAACCGGCCTCACAACTGCAGACCACGTGTAACCACGCCAGCCTAGGACCTCCACACCCGTCTTCTTTACCTGGGGATCGTCTGAGACCAGCCACCCAGAGAGCCGATGGAACAGGAGTATTTCTGTCTGTAATAAAGCCCTTTTGTGAGGAAAAACTAATTCTGATTGGCTGGGCCTGGCTCCCAAGTGGGTGGGCCTATGCCCTCTCAGGTCCACCCATGGCTTTGCTCCTGCCCAGTCATGTGAAATCCATAGATTAGGGCCTAGTGAATTTATTTAAATTGACTGATTTCCTTATATGAACTGTAACTCAGTAAAATCGTTGAAATTGTTGCATGTTGTGTTTATATTTTTGTTCTGTATACATACAGTGGGGGAAAAAAAGTATTTATTCAGCTGCCAATTGTGCAAGTTCTCCCACTTAAAAAGATGAGAGAGGCCTGTATTTTCATCATAGGTACACGTCAACTATGACAGACAAAATGAGAATATTGTAGGATTTTTTATGAATTTATTTGCAAATTATGGTGGAAAATAAGTATTTGGTCAATAACAAAAGTTTCTCAATACTTTGTTATATACCCTTTGTTGGCAATGACACAGGTCAAACGTTTTCTGTAAGTCTTCACAAGGTTTTCACACACTGTTGCTGGTATTTTGGCCCATTCCTCCATGCAGATCTCCTCTAGAGCAGTGATGTTTTGGGGCTGTCGCTGGGCAACACGGACTTTCAACTCCCTCCAAAGATTTTCTATGGGGTTGAGATCTGGAGACTGGCTAGGCCACTCCAGGACCTTGAAATGCTTCTTACGAAGCCACTCCTTCGTTGCCCGGGCGGTGTGTTTGGGATCATTGTCATGCTGAAAGACCCAGCCACGTTTCATCTTCAATGCCCTTGCTGATGGAAGGAGGTTTTCACTCAAAATCTCACGATACATGGCCCCATTCATTCTTTCCTTTACACGGATCAGTCGTCCTGGTCCCTTTGCAGAAAAACAGCCCCAAAGCATGATGTTTCCACCCCCATGCTTCACAGTAGGTATGGTGTTCTTTGGATGCAACTCAGCATTCTTTGTCCTCCAAACACGACGAGTTGAGTTTTTACCAAAAAGTTATATTTTGGTTTCATCTGACCATATGACATTCTCCCAATCCTCTTCTGGATCATCCAAATGCACTCTAGCAAACTTCAGACGGGCCTGGACATGTACTGGCTTAAGCAGGGGGACACGTCTGGCACTGCAGGATTTGAGTCCCTGGCGGCGTAGTGTGTTACTGATGGTAGGCTTTTGTTACTTTGGTCCCAGCTCTCTGCAGGTCATTCACTAGGTCCCCCCGTGTGGTTCTGGGATTTTTGCTCACCGTTCTTGTGATCATTTTGTCCCCATGGGGTGAGATCTTGCGTGGAGCCCCAGATCGAGGGAGATTATCAGTGGTCTTGTATGTCTTCCATTTCCTAATAATTGCTCCCACAGTTGATTTCTTCAAACCAAGCTGCTTACCTATTGCAGATTCAGTCTTCCCAGCCTGGTGCGGGTCTACAATTTTGTTTCTGGTGTCCTTTGACAGCTCTTTGGTCTTGGCCATAGTGGAGTTTGGAGTGTGACTGTTTGAGGTTGTGGACAGGTGTCTTTTATACTGATAACAAGTTCAAACAGGTGCCATTAATACAGGTAACGAGTGGAGGACAGAGGAGCCTCTTAAAGAAGAAGTTACAGGTCTGTGAGAGCCAGAAATCTTGCTTGTTTGTAGGTGACCAAATATTTATTTTCCACCATAATTTGCAAATAAATTCATTAAAAATCCTACAATGTGATTTTCTGGATTTTTTCCCCCACAATTTGTCTGTCATAGTTGACGTGTACCTATGATGAAAATTACAGGCCTCTCTCATCTTTTTAAGTGGGAGAACTTGCACAATTGGTGGCTGACTAAATACTTTTTTTCCCCCACTGTATATTTAAAGAGGCACTATGCAGAAATCGCTCCGCCATTTCCTGGTTGCTAAAATTGGAATAGTTCGCAAAAACTAAACTTAAGAACGGGCAGCATAGAAATAGAGCACGTAGAACATATATATCGCTTCTTAGACTTGCTTTATATGAGAATGACAGATCTATAACACACATTTCTATGTGAATTTGGTCGGGTCGCCCAAAAAGTGACATATTGTAGCTTTGACTTATAGCGGACTTGATAGCGGACTTGATGTTGTGTATCCCTGGAAATAATCAGAATTAATGTAAACATTACTGTTTTGAAATCATAACTTCTCATAAAAAGAAGTGGTCTCTTGGCACATCTTACCCCAGGTATGGGGTAAATTGAGCACATGGACAGGGTAGGTTGAGCTGCCTTGGGGTAAGTGGGTGATTGGTGCTGGTGGGTCAAAGTTTAATTCATGGAATAGGGGTGTGGTATAGTCAATTGTATATCTTAAATGTATGCTTACATTTCTTGACTAGTTTTCTGGGACAGGGATGTTGTTTCGTTGTGCCAATTCGTAGGCAAGTTCTCTGCATTTGAGGCTACTAAGCCCATGAAACCGTTCCACAAGATTATTGATATGTTTAGCAAGCTACTTTGGTTTAGATACAAGCATAATGAAACCTCAAACACAATGAATTAATTTGACTTTGTGAAAAACAATTTTCTGGATCTAACTTGCTTACCACTTTTTCCATGTAGTTTCTTCAGACTTGTCAATGATGGTCACATGATTAATGTTGTTTATGGTTTCCTAGAAACAAGGGGTGGCTCCATAAACCCTTTGGCTCAACTTTCCTCACTCTCCCCTATAATAATATTCATATTTCCACTTCTCAAATAAAATATTTGAATGTAATAAACCTAGTAACCTACATTTCTATTCCTTGTACTACAAATATTTAGTTAATGCCTTATTCTACACCGAATATTGTTGCTTTGGTTTTATCAGAGAGAGGAGGGGGGATGCTGGCACACTCACCACCCCATGTTGTTGCTGTGGGAACAGACTTGTCAATGATGTGAATGTTCTTGTTTAACTCAGGTGTGTGCGTGTCTTTTCTTGTTAACTTAGGTGTGTATGTGTCCAAGTACTCGGACTGCCTGGACTTAAACCGCTGGTACCACGGGAAGTCTGGATATATCGCCATCATCAGGCTCACCAAGGTATTTACAAAGCAGCAGAGCCATAGGGGTGCTGACTAGAGGAAGTACAGCTACGACCGGAAGTTACTTTTTGTAGCAGGTTAGGAGAGCATTTTAACCCGTTACCCTTTTCCTAACATTATCCTAAGTCTCCTAACCTGCCACGTTAATTCTCCTAACCTACTGCGTAAATTCTCCTAACCTGCTACGAAAAAGCCACTTCCGGTCGATGGTGTACTCCCTCTAGTCAGAACCGGCCACAGGGGCATAACGTTGTGTAACCTCACAGTTGGGTAACCTCCTTTCTCTCAAAGGTTTCTGCCTCCTGGCCACTGTGCTTCTGCTTCTGTTTGCGGTCTAGGCCGGGTTCCTGTAAAGCAATTTGGGACGACAGCTGATTAATATATTTGGGGACGACTGCTTTATAAATACATTTGATTGATTAGTTGAAAGGGCTTGCAATTGAATTCTCTCTCTTTTTGTGGGGTTCTACAGGGCAGGGTCAGAGAGGTGACAGAGAACTACACAGTAAACTACACCTCTCCCTCTAATGGGTTTGACTGTCATGTATCAGAACATCTCAGTGCTGTGTCAGCCAACACCAGCTCCTTCCTGGCCTTCGAGAGAACACAGGTGAGATTCCGCCCTCCTTTCACCACCATCCCTCTATCCTCCATCCCTCCTTCTCACACGGTGTGTTCTGTTGCCTTCAATTGTCAAATATGCACTCAGTGTGTCAAAGTAATAAAACTAACAAATGTATTTAGTAAGCTACCTCTAACGGAAAAAAATATATATAATGTATTATTAATCTTTTTGCCGCAGGTATTTAGCAAAGTTGATCAAATACACCTGCAGATACAGTAGTGATAAATACAACACAACACAATACAATACAGTACAATACAGTACAATAGCAAAGCTGAAGAGATTTGTGTTGGTCTTTCAGTACTACATGTATGAGCTGCCTGTTGGCGGGGAAGTCCAGCCTCCCAGCCATGTTTGCCCATTCGCTATCGTGGCTTTCTCCTATTGGGATACCAAGACACCCGCATCAGAGGAGCAGGAGAAAAGGTAAACTTCCCTCTTTCCCCTCATGGGGTTTGTAACAAACAACATTATGCTCAATAGAAAATATTAGGTGAAAAGGAACTAAAGTGTTATTGTTATGATTAATCCCCCCCAAAATTGTCTCCGTCTTTTTAGTGAGGAAGAAAAACCAGGTGAGCAATGAACTGATGGCTACTTATCAATGTGTCTATGTCTAGTGTGTTATTGATATGAATTAGACTTGTTGTATTGTAACACTGGTTATGGTAATCATAATGGTAATGGAATACGATTACAGTCTTTCACTACTACCCGTGGAGGGGCCAACTCCAAATCAGCTCCCAGATCTACCATGTGGGTCTGAAGTCCAGCACAGGACCCCTGATCCCAGCTAAACTGTAAGTCCAATGCTACCCTGTGAAGGTAGCACGGTCTCTCCCGATGCTATGTCTTAAAATTATATTCTATATCTCTCCAATTGACTTGATGTGTGTCGTGTTCAGTAGGGCACACCATAGAAAAACATTAGGCAACGGAAAAACAAAAAACACGTTTCAGTAACTCCCCGCTTTATTCCGTTTTCTTTCATGTGGTAACAAAACCTGAAAATGTCACATGAATTATACTTCCTTCCTTTTTTTTGATTGCAGTCCAACAATGATGGCAGTTGACAGAGCAATTCAAATGTCAGATCTGAGGCAGAAATTACCGAAGGGTATATTTGAAACCTGCTTCTCCGGTGAAGGTACACTCATGTTCATGTTTAAAATGTAAATGTACTAAAAAGGGGTTTCATTTTTAGGTGTTGCTCATCTTAATAAAGATGGAACTGTTTATTTATTCATCTTTGACAACACATTTTATTGCGTGTGTATGGCTCAGTGGTAGAGCATGGCGCTTGCAAAGCCAGGATTATGGGTTTGATTCACGGGGCCACCCATATGTTAAATGTATGTATGCATGCATGACTGTAAGTCACTTTGGATAAAAGTGTCTTGTTAAATGGCATATTATTATATTATCTTTATTCTTTACCATGGAATGCTGAATGTCTAATGATCACAATTTTTTCCTGTATTTTGTCTTTTCTTGCAATAAACTTAACACACTAGGAGTGCTTTATTGTATTGAATTGTACTGTTTTTCAGTGTCTCTGGAAGGAATGGGTTGCAGTCTCTATGAGCTAGTGCCCAGTGAGGCTGAGGACGCCTCTCTCTCTCTGGTCACACGGGAGCTCAAGGAGAAAGACCTGGTGAGCCTTCGTTGTTTTTAAAGTCGGCTCACAGACTCTTGGAAGAACGGAATGCAGTTCATTGTTGCCTTGTCAGACTTTGATTTAAATAAATAAAAATGGTTTTTTACTAACAGGCCCTCACAATACAACTGAATGATCGTGGTTTTCTGATACTCTTACATTCATCTCACTTCCTCACATATGAAGGTAAGACAGAACCTGTATACACAACATACTGTATTTAGATATATTATAGATAGAAGCTAAATATCTAACATTACATTATAATGGTATATTTCCAGATGCTGGGTCCAAGAAGCCAGAGGTATTGCAGGGGATGTTTGTGTTTCCGGACTCCAGAGCTATACATAGAGGTATTAAGGCCCTTGTATACAGTAGTGATTTTATCTAATCTTTTGTAATGTATCCTTATGTAATGATTTATTTTTATTTTTTACCACAGACACCAAGGTCTGCTGCAAGAAGCCCTTCCTCTCACCAGAGTGCCTCCAGGTGGTGCCGGCACTGAACTACGCAGAGACCGAGGTGGAAAAGTGCCTCCCTTCACAGAGCGGGGAGCTACGTGGTTTACTAGAGCAGCATATCCAGAGCTACGTTTCCCTCATCCACCCTGGGCTTACCATCAGTCCATCCAGGGAGGCCAGCATCTTCCCAGATCAGTTTGATGTTCCCGATGCCCTCAAATACCTCTACTCTGCCCCCAAGTGGACTGAGATGGGATGGAAACGTCTCAAATCTTATTTCCACCAGCCGGGCTCCTTCGAGCTCTCGGTGTCCAGGGCCACGGAGCTTCTGGTGGCAGGGCGAGAGGAGCGAGGAGACGAGCCGGATGATGACGTCTACTACTGTCTGTCATCTCCAGAGGGGCCCCCCATGAGTCCTGCTAGTCTGGGTGGCCCAGAGGAGCAGCAGTCAGGGGGAGAGTCCCCAGGAGACACAGCTGACACAGCAGCAGACTTTAGTAAAGCACCTGCAGTGTCTACGGAGGCCTTCGAGAAACCTGGTAAGACTATGGAAGACAGTAATGCGCCGGACAAAGGAGCAGACGAAGGGAAGAACTTGCAAGAAAGTTTGCCCTCTGATCTTACCAAGCCTGTAATCCCTGCAGAGGACTTTGGGAAACCTGGCTTGAACAAGGCAGACAGTAATGCACCAGGGACAACTTTGCTTCCAAAGGAGGTGCAGGAGGAGGTGCAGAAGGAGCTCCCCTCTGATCTTTCTCAGCCTGCTGTGTCAGCAGATGACACTGGGAAGACCAAGGCCGACTGTAATGCACCAGGGGTAGGAACAGAGGGTGAAGGGACAAGTTTGAACCCAGAGGAGGTCCAAGTTGAAGTACAAGAGAAGGTGCCTTCTGATCTTTCACAGCCTGCAGTCTCTGCAGAGGACTTGAGGAAAGCTGACCTGGCAGCGTTGGGCAAGGCAGACTGTGACGCACCAGAGGTAGGAGTAGCGAATGAAGAGACGAACTTGCACCCGAAGGAGGTGCAAAAAGACATGCCCTCTGGTGTTTCACAGTCTCCAGTCTCTGCAGAGGTCTTGAGGAAACCTGGTCCAGCCCTAACAACCAAGCCCAACAGTAACACACCAGAGGCAGGAGTAGAGGAGAATGTGAGAACTTTGCCTCAGAAGGAGGGGCAAGAGGAGTTTCCCTCTGATCTTTCCCAGCTTGCAGTGTCAGCAAAGGCTTTTGGGATAGCAAGTATGAGAGTGATGACAAAGGCCACAGAGGTGACAGGGGGTTCAACCTCACCTGCATCAGGTGACCTCCCAACATTGTTAGTCATCACTGCCACTGAAGGAACTGCAACTGTTTTACCTCACAATGAGAACCTTGACTTGATCAACACAGAGTCCACCACAAATAACTCCTCCAGTGCTCTAAATGCGGAACGTGGCAAGGCCAATCAGCCTTCAAAACCCCCAGAGGTCAGTAATTTCCCTATATCTGATTGGAGGAAACGGCCAAGGAAACGTCATAGATTTAGCGGATTGGGTAAAAGGGTCTTGAGGTCTACAGTGGCTGACTTTGAAGAGAAAGAAAAAGAGGATAAGGAAAGGATGGATGTAACCCAAGATCACCCATTGAAAATGCCAAGAGAACTGATGAATTTGATCCAAGATCCCCCATTGAAAAAGAAGGAAAGGATGGATGTAACCCAAGTTCACCCATTGAAAATGCCAAGAGAACTGATGAATTTGATCCAAGATCCCCCATTGAAAAATAAGGAAAGGATGGATGTAACCCAAGTTCACCCATTGAAAATGCAGAGGGAACTGATCAATTTAATCCAAGATCCCCCATTGAAAATGAAAAGCAAGGATTTAATCCACTATCACCCATTGAGAAATAAAGAAAGTATGGATTTGATTGATGACGACCATCCATTGAAAAAGAAGACAGAACGGTGGGACTTGAAGGCAATCATCTCCGAATGTGGTAGAATTTTTGTCCCTCACGGTTCAGAAGTTATCGCCAAGGATATAGATTCTTTGAAAGTTAAGGGGAAAGTGTTAGATCACAAACAATGTGCTGACGAGATGATGGTTGAAGCTTGTATCAAAGTCCCCCAACCCATAGAAACAGGAGATGGACCTAGCCTAGAGTTGAACAAGTCAGACAAGAGCAAAGATTTGCCCATAGGGATGTTAGACAGTAAAGACAGTCTGCCAGAGGTCAAAATGGCTGATCTAGGCAAGATGGCCTCTCGGAATCCCTCAGAACTGGTCCTGAACAAAGACACGGATTCTCCTTCCTCAGGAAAACACAAAAAGAAGCGTCAATATGTCGCAATATCCCTCAGTCAACTAAAGACAGTTCTTTCAAGAGGGGGAAAGAGGAAGAAACCCATCAATCCTGTTTCAGAAGATCAAACATCACCCTTGAAGAAGAAAAGCAAGGCTGGTACTGGCATGGATGAAACGGAAACATTTAATTTGAGTAACATCAACAAAGCTAGCCCGGACAGAACCACAGGTGCTGTTGAAGTTGCAAAGGAACAGACATTTGGCCTAGACCAAAAGTTTGCACTAGCATTGGGCTTGACTCCTACGGAGTTGCATAATAATGCACACAAATCTCCAGAAAAAAGTGATATTCCATTAAAGGAAGATATTCAGAGCAGACTGGGCCTGGTCCCACCTCAAGCCACATCTGGCCAAACGTCTGAGGCTTTGCCCAGCTCACCTTCAACAACAATCCCCTTGACAGGTCAGATGAGACCATTCAAAAAGAAACACATGCTCGCAGACTCCATGAGGAAAAAATGTAAGTTTATTTTGGGAAGTCATATGGTCATAAACCAAATGCTAAATTAGATAGCAATGTTCTTCATCTTTGAGTTGTGATTACAGTTAATATATGTGCTGAAATGTTGAAATATGCTGAAATAATCCAGTTGTCTTGAATTCCTGATGATTCTGTTTCTATATTTCCTTTTTCATCTGAACTGCAAAGCGGCATTCTGAAGTAATGTGCTAATAGCCTCTTGCTGACCTGGTCCCAGATCAGTTTGTGCCATCTGGCCAACTCCTATGGTCATTGTAACGCACGTGGCAAGACAGCACAAACAGATCTGGGACCTCTTGCCGCCTCGTCTTGCTGTGTGTTGTTTGCCCCCCTATTGCTGCGGTCCCCCAGTTGAACATAAAGTTACATTTATTACAGATCATATTTAAATTAGGTTCAGTTGGTTGGCAATGATATTTCTTACCATTGCAAGAAATAAACATTATCAGCTTTAAAAAAAAAATATATATATATATAAAAATTAATCAGTTTCAAAGATCACCTTTACTAATCCATTTGCATGCAGGGGACTGCTTTACAGCTACTTAGGTATTAATCATCACCATGCGCTACTTTGTGTTTTTGTTTTCATGCCGTTCCTTCTGTCTCTTTTGTCTTTTCTTTTGTTTCTACAGGGTGGTTGCACTATCAAACACCAGCTTCTTTAGAAAGTGAGAAAGTAGCTATATCCTCCCAACTACTGACACTTGACCCGGATGTCAGGCGTGTTGACCCGGATGTCAGGCGTGTTGACCCGGATGTCAGGCGTGTTGACCCGGATGTCAGGCGTGTTGTCAGTAGGGGTAGGCCCCGCAAAGGTGCCAGTGCTGCATCATACACACCTGCAGATTCTCTGACCCTATTGGCCGATTTGGCCCTCAGTACCAGTAATGACAAAGTACTGGAACAACAGTCAAAAGACCCAAAGGCTCTTGAGAAACAAGATGGCCGCCCAAGTTTGGTGATAAGTGACAACAGTGTCAAAGATGGTGTCTCTCCTCATGAGCCAGATGGTGAGCCAGAGTTTGTCCTTCATGCTCTGCTGAAGCACCCTTCTGCTGCTAGGCTTAAACTCCCCTCTCAGTCTCCGTCACCCAAGGGGCTGGTGGTGGGGAGTGGGGAGCGGGTTGTGTTAGTCTCACAAGAGCATTCATACTCACTACCACCATCCTCTCTACTATTGGGTTTGTCAGGTTCAAGCCTTGAAGTCCCCATTTCGGAGGGACTTCAGCAGCATCGCAAGGATATCTCTGCTGACGGAACTCAAGCACTACGGGCCTACCTGTGTCAGCAGCAGGACCAGAACAGGAAGGAACCCGGATTGACTCCGGAATCCCTGAGCAAAGGAATCGGATGCAGGCAGAAGTTCCATCGCTTCCGGCGGTTCATTGAAAAAGATGGCTCAGTTCAAGTGACAAGGCTGTGGATGGAAAACTATGACTTTAGTTCAGACAGCAAGTTTACCAACGACCCTAAGGATAAAACAGTTACTAGAGCGCTACATGGGTATGTACTTACAATCACTAACTTCAATACTAATGTCTTCAGTTTGATTAGTTATGCATCTAGTAGGTAGAAGAAAGGATAAGTGAAGAGTTTGCTAGAGACCAAAAGCTGAGACTATATTACTCACAATTGTTTGACTAGAATTGCTAAGTATGTCCCTTCTTCATCCCTCTGCACTCCCTCTCTGTACAGCCCATGGGATTTTGACATTAAGGACACAAAGGAACAGGTTCAGCTCATTATCCACATGTGGATAGGTCTTTTCTACAGCAGGTCCACTGCTAGGTTCTGCCGGGCAGACTCAAGTCTAACATGTTTGGAAGAAAAGGATTCTACAGAAGTGGCTCATGGAATGGTACCAGCCCAGGTTCCACCTGAGACCAAGACAAGTTCCCCTGCTTATATAGCCCTCTCCAGGATACCAGAACCTACAGTTCTGGACCTTAGTAACATGGGTAAAAAAGAAACACAACCTTTAAGCCTGGAACCTGAGGTATTGGACCTTTCAATGAAAACAACCTCAACTGTGCTAGACTCTCTAGACACAGAGTCTAAGCAGAGAATAGAGTTAAACAATCCTCCAGTATACCTACCAGCAACTGGCCTGCACAAGGAAACCATCTCTTTTCCAAAACGAAGTACAGGTGTTGAGTTAAAGGTTGGAAAACAAATATATTATATATTTAAAGCACATATGTTTTCAACTGAATCTTTTGTAGACATTATATATATATTTTTTGCAATGATTAATTGTTTATCTTGCTGTTCTGTTTCTCTACAGGTTTACAGAGACTGTGTGGAACTGGATGATGATGATGATGAAGACTATGAAACCAACAACCATGAGAATGACAGCAAGGGTACCCTCCAAAATGGTGTGTCCCCTTACAGAACAACTTTGGAAAGTGATGGATCGTACATACTTTTGTGTGAACAGACAGCAAGTGTGTACATTCATCAAGAAAAGGTCCTGGAGACTCAAAGAATTGCTGAGGTTTTGGATGGCAAAGACAAAAAGGAGGAGGTGACGGGAGATGGAGAACAAAACGCAGCAGGTCTTAAAACCATGGGCTCTAAAGATGTCGATAAGGTACAACAACTGAAAGATAACGATTTGGTCAAAACGATGCCATACACAGAAGTGCAGATGGATGGTGATGCTGCCAATATGGCTGACACAGTTGAGCGTAACGCAAATGAACCCAGAGATGGGGCGCACGTTGCCATCTGTGATGGTAGTGAGTCAAAAGCAGAGATGCGCAAAGTAGATCACAACGTCAAGGATTCTGTTGAAGCCGCAAAACCAGAAGCAGTGCATGTTGGGAAAGATACCACAAACAAGGAAATCGCTAAAGCACAAACTGCTGTGCATGTTGGGAAGGATTTCACTGATAACGATAAGGCACTCAAAGCAGTGTACAGTGAAAATGTTCCCAGAGACGATGGAAACACCAAAGACCAGGTGCAAACTGCAATGCAGGATGGGAATGATACCAGAGATGAGGCCCTACCAGCGGTGAATTGTGGAGAAGATTCAGGAGATAAAGCTCGAGCTGTGGTGTGTGATGGGAACACGTCTGTGGCTGAGGCACCACCAGAGATATCACATACTGAAAATTATTCCCAAAAAGCAACACTGACAGTGGTGCATGGTGGAAATGATCCAAGAGCTACGACACTACCTGTGAAATGTAATGGCAAGCTGTACATAGATGAAGAACCCACTGTAGTGCATGAAATAAATGGTTTCACAGATGAGGCACTACCAATGGAGCAGGGTGGGGATGTTTCTGTTGGCACTACCAGAGAACTGCCAGAGATGCACAGTGAGATTAAATGTAAAGATGAGCTACTGCCCACGCAAGTATTTCCAGTATGCGATGGGAACATACCTTTTGTAGGCGAGTTTGACACACTCATTCAGTCCAATAATGTTTTAGGAGAGGCTAAACGTAAAATAAATGAGGCTGATGTCAATGTAGAAACTAAAGATCAGGAAAAAGAGTCAATGCAGGGTCAAAGTTCAACAACATTCCCGCCAGGGTCCCAACATTCTCAAGACGAGACATCAGAAATACTGACAGGCCAGGTAGAAATACCACCGATTCCCAGAGAAGACATTGCACACACAGAGGTTCTACATTCAATAGGTGAGGCATCAGAGATAGAGCGAGGTCAGGTAGAAATGCCATTTATTGGAGTAGAGAAGGATAGCAAGGATATCACACACACACACACAGAGGTTCTACATTCAATAGGTGAGGCATCAGAGATAGAGCGAAGTCAGGTAGAAATGCCATTTATTGGAGTAGAGAAGGATAGCAAGGATATCACACACACAGAGGTGCATGATACTCACCCAAGTCAGAACGAGACACTGATCACAGTCTGTGATAGGGCTAATGTGTTATCAGGTGAAATGCTAACAAAATTAGTTCCAAAGGGAACGGAATCTGTCAGTAGATGCCCAACCCCTACTGTGGATGAGGTGCTGGATGGTTACATCCCCATTCCTGACATCTGCAGTGGCTCCTTGGCCATCTGCGATGCCTATGGGGACAGCAAACCCCTCAGCACTGGGGAAGGTCACAGCAGATGCCCAACTCCTACAGAAGACGAGACACCTTTCGTTCCAGGATTTTCTTATGACCACAACACACCAAAGACTGTTTTGCTGCCCAATGCGACAGACACCAACACTCCCAACCTCGATAGTGGTCTTGCGCTCATTGAAAATGAAAAGGCTCATCATGAACCAAGTCTTAGTCTATACAAAGCTAGGGCTGCTACTAGGTTGCACGAGCTGCGTAAATCCAGCAACAATAACAAACCAAATAATCTGGAAGCCATTGATAATCAGTTCTCTCAAGTATTGGCTGATCCCCGCAAGAAGCCAATCGCCACTAGCACACCTCTCAACACTCCCTCAACTTCTTTCAAGGAAAGAAGCGATTACGATCCATATTCAAATGTGCGACTTACCGCTGTTGAACCAGACCTGTATGCTCATTCACGCTCTTACTCGTCTCCCATCAACCAATGCTCCTTAACAGAGAAAGCCGCCTTCTCTGTGCCATCAATCCACCCTGAAGTTCTATCCAATGAAACGACAGAAATAACGTTAACTGGGGACTTTAGTGAAATCGCTTTAGAAAGAGAGACTTGCTTGAGTCCTGCCTCAAGTGAGCTCATCCTACAGTCCACCTGTCGGAGTATTCCAGTGGCCAGTGGACCTACAGCAGCTTCTCAGAACCTTTCAGTGCACAGTTTTACTCAGCCCCAGCCACAGAGCCAGCAACCTGCCATGGCTGTGAATCTATGGAAGAGTGAGGACAGCAGAGGACAGTACAACTGGGAAGAAGGACAAACAGATATTGACCCTATGTCTTCAGATGTTCTAGAAAGCAAACAAACCGATACCCCTGTCTGCTCAAACACTAATGCTCACCCTTATAACACACTGTATGCCACAGAGATGAGACAGATTGCAATTTTGCAAGATTATGAGGATGTTGTGGCAGATGATGTTGTGGGTGAAAACGAGGCGCCTTCTGTAGATCAAGACAACATTGAATCCAGTTTAGAGACCAATTGGATATCAGATGACCAACATTTAAGAAGTAAATCCCGGTTGAATAAAACAAAACTTGACTTCATCAACTCTTTACGCCAGTCTCAGGAATGGGAGAAAAGTGAATTTGATGAGGTTTTGGACTTCAGCAAGCAAGGCACTTCCTCGTCGGTCACCTTCCAGTCTGGAGAATCAGACAAAAGACTTTGCCGTATGGAAGAAAACCAACAGGAGTGGTTAAAGTATTGTAGGGCTAAGAGGAGTGGCAGCCAGATGGATATGACCGAGGAAGAAGACACCTCAGTGGCAAAGCCAAGCTTAGTTACCATTTTGGATCACAAAGGAAACAGAATCACCTATGAAAACTATCCCGTTTTGAAAACTACAGCAAGCATGCACACACGGACAGTTCCTGACTCTAACAGACGGGGCTCGAGCAGTTTTCTGGAGTTCTCGAAGAGGTGGGATGGTACACATAACGCTGATGAATCTGATCTCACTCAGTCATCTATGGATCTGGAGACCCTCATCTTCTCAGAGAAAATGAACCAGATTCTAAAACGTAAAAGGAAGAGTAGCAGCAGCAGGTACAACCGATCGAGACACCGCAGGTCAAACGTAGAAGAAAGAGCTTCCACCTGTAGCCCGGCTGTGACAGTGCGCTTCTCCAGTCTGCAGGAGGATCAGGACGGCTCTGAGGAGCACTGGGAGGCGATACCGTCACTTTCAGGGCAAAATATCAGAGTGGAGATGCCCGAAAGGATGGCTATGCCTGAAGAAACAGATAAAGAACATCAGCATCTTAAGAAACTCTCCTATACAAAGGGCAGTGAGATGACGCATGTAAAAGTTTCAGATCTGGTTGTGGATAGTTTCAAGGCATACAATGCTATGATGACTGAGGTCTGCGCAGGCAGAAAGTACCCATCCAGAACTGAGAGACTCAAGAGGGAAGAAGCAAAGAGAAACAGTTCGCCAAAGTCTCGACCCCCAGGCAAAGACAAAGACTTCAGTGGGCAGATGAAGGAGGACATGTATGACAGCCTGCATGATAATCTGAACTCTGTTGTGAGGCAGTCATGTAAGAACAAGTTCAGGTTCTACATACTGGTGACATCATCTGACCCATTCTTCAGAGAGACAAAGGTAAGATGAACGTAGTAAACATGTTAGCCTGGTTCTGGATCAGTTTGTGCCGTCTTGCCAACTCAACTCAACATAGGCTATGCAGCGCAAACAGATCTGGGACCAGTCTATGAAAACCATTAGTACAACAATGAAAGCCAAACTTCATTCTTCCGCCATGTTTAAAAACAAGCATTCTATTTTTGTAGGAGCTGTTAGAAGCAGAGGGCCACATTGCGGTAGAACAGTCTCAATTCTGCCTTGGAAAGGATAGTCCATCGTGCCCTCTACACATCATCTTAAGGAACGAAGATATTGCTGAACACATTTGTGAGGTAAGACTGTCATACCATTGTAGACTTATAAAAGTATCCCAAACTCCCGGATAACCAATCCAGGTTCGAAATCCAGCCTTTTGAGTCAGTATACGTTGTCATTTGGAGATTTCTGTTTTACCCTCAGGTCCCTCACTTGCTTGAGTTGAAGAAGTCTCAGAATGTGTTGTTTGCTGGTATCGACCGTCCTGATGACATCGTGAACCTGACCCACCAAGAACTCTTCAGCAAAGGCGGTTTTGTGGTGTTTGAGGGAGCAGCTCTGGACACACTGAGTCTCAGTATGGACACTTCACGATTTGCAAGAGACCATATATAGAAGTGCATTGTCTACTTTTCATTATGTTTTCACAATGGTCAATCTCTACAAGCAACTATGATGTCCCTAGCCTGGTCCCAGATCAGTTTGTGTTATCTTGCCAACTCCTATGGCTGATGTTTGGCATGAAAACAGATCTGGGGCCAGGCTATGATGTCCCCTCCCAACATTGCATGGATGTGCGAGTCGCTGAGTAACTCTCTCGCTCTCTCTCAGGTAACATTAAGAAAATGTCTGGTTTCCTGGAGGGGCTGAGTAAAAAGGGGAAGTGGAAATGGCTCTTGCACTACAGAGACAGCCGGAAGCTGAAAGAGAACGCACGGTAAGCTTATTCTTGCACTTGTACAAACTGCTCTGATGCTGCTGATGGTCATTAGTAGCCTACCAAACTTGCTAACTGCCTGGTACTCAGCAGTCTATTCTCCCGCTAATCACTCTGACATCAATGCAAATGTCATCGAAAATCAAATCAAACACTTCATGAGATCCCATGAGCTCATGTTGTGCAACAATTCTATAGGCTATGCAATTGCGTGAGAAAACAAGAGTTTTGATGGCCTCTTATAAAGAGGAGGATCCCATCAGCTTTCTATAGGCAAGGCCTACTACACTGCTCAAAAAAATTAAGGGAACACTAAAATAACACATCCTAGATCTGAATGAATGAAATAATCTTATTAAATAGTTTTTTCTTTACATAGTTGAATGTGCTGACAACAAAATCACACAAAAATTATCAATGGAAATCAAATTTATCAACCCATGGAGGTCTGGATTTGGAGTCACCCTCAAAATTAAAGTGGAAAACCACACTACAGGCTGATCCAACTTTGATGTAATGTCCTTAAAACAAGTCAAAATGAGGCTCAGTAGTGTGTGCTGCCTCCATGTGCCTGTATGACCTCCCTACAACGCCTGGGCATGCTCCTGATGAGGTGGCGGATGGTCTCCTGAGGGATCTCCTCCCAGACCTGGACTAAAGCATCCGCCAACTCCTGGACAGTCTGTGGTGCAACGTGGCGTTGGTGGATGGAGCGAGACATGATGTCCCAGATGTGCTCAATTGGATTCAGGTCTGGGGAACGGGCGGGCCTGTCCATAGCATCAATGCCTTCCTCTTGCAGGAACTGCTGACACACTCCAGCCACATGAGGTCTAGCATTGTCTTGCATTAGGAGGAACCCAGGGCCAACCGCCCCAGCATATGGTCTCACAAGGGGTCTGAGGATCTCATCTCGGTACCTAATGGCAGTCAGGCTACCTCTGGCGAGCACATGGAGGGCTGTGCGGCCCCCCAAAGAAATGCCACCCCACACCATGACTGACCCACCGCCAAACCGGTCATGCTGGAGGATGTTGCAGGCAGCAGAACGTTCTCCACGGCGTCTCCAGACTCTGTCACATCTGTCACGTGCTCAGTGTGAACCTGCTTTCATCTGTGAAGGGCACAGGGCGCCAGTGGCGAATTTGCCAATCTTGGTGTTCTCTGGGAAATGCCAAACGTCCTGCAGGGTGTTGGGCTGTAAGCACAATCCCCACCTGTGGACGTCGGGCCCTCATACCACCCTCATCGAGTCTGTTTCTGACCGTTTGAGCAGACACATGCACATTTGTGGCCTGCTGGAGGTCATTTTGCAGGGCTCTGGCAGTGCTCCTCCTGCTCCTCCTTGCACAAAGGCGGAGGTAGCAGTCCTGCTGCTGGGTTGTTGCCCTCCTATGGCCTCCTCCACGTCTCCTGATGTACTGGCCTGTCTCCTGGTAGCGCCTCCATGCTCTGGACACTACGCTGACAGACACAGCAAACCTTCTTGCCACAGCTCGCATTGATGTGCCATCCTGGATGAGCTGCACTACCTGAGCCACTTGTGTGGGTTGTAGAAAAGTAAAATGTGGACAGTTCTTCTAACATCTTCAATATGCACCTAGGAATTCGATAAGAAGATGTCTGTCTTCACTTGTAGCCTACTTAGGAGCTGCAATAGATGCCTGTGAGAAAAACCCGATCACGTGACGGGCATTGGCTAATAAGAATTGAGATATCTGAGAGCCATGTGAGTGAGAGGTGCTTCAGAACACACAGCCGGGAGAAGGGAATTGTAATTATTATATTCAGCCCAAGGGCACAACGGCCACTGGCCGCAAAAGGCATGGATTCTTTTAGGGGGCATTACGGCCACACTAGGGGGATGCCACCGGGAAATTCGAGGCATTATCAAGTGCTTGTCAAATTGTGAATGAGAGACTGATGAAGTGTGTACAGTCTGCGCAAATAACTAAGCAGAGCTCATGCCTTTCATGTGACTTTTTTCAAATCATCCTTAGAATGTATTAAAAATCTAAACATATAGCCCAAAGTTTGTATCACAACTAAAGTTGCATAAATAACTCTAAATTAAGCATATAGGAGGACCTGTTTATTTGTTAACCGCTCAACACAGAATAACCGCATGTGCGCACTGCCTCAAATCGTTTGAAGAAAATATCCTTTCTATTTATTCAGCTTTGTTCAATTGTATTCTTCATACTATAAAATAATGCAGCGGAATTCTAAGCAAATCTTGTCTGCTATATGAACTAGTGTAGCCCACAGCCATATGGCATAGCCAGATCAGGGCCTAACATAAGGACAACTCAGAGTATGCTATTCTGTTCTTCTGAAATAGACTACATTTTCTTCATATCATGTTTCTTTAGACCTGTCTAAAATAACTAATGGATTTTGTTGTGATGGTGTAGGCTATATTATATGGATTTATTAGACTTTTTTAAATGTAGATGTTCCAAAGGTCTGCACCAGTGGCTTGTAGGCTATGTGTGGAAGCCAGGAGATGCTACATGTGTTTATGTTAATTAACGGTCAATTACCGTGAGACCGGCAGTTATTTGCTTGACAATCACGGCTGACAAAATGTAATGACTTGATATTTTAGAGAATTATGTAAATGCCACAGATGTCGGCTCAAGCAGAAATCCCCATTAAAAGTCGATTGCAGTGCACAGATCATCAAAGACACTGCATTTCATTGAATCTCTGCCAAAGTAAATATTTCTATTTTAAGGGAACTAATAATCCCGTAAAGATCCTAACTAACCATTAGAATTGTTCATTACACTTTTTATTATTCTGTTTGCAAAATTGTATTGTTTTACTTTAAAGTGTGTTGCGATTTTAAATGGACTTTAAAATTAAGTTTTATTTTATTTGGATTTGATACAGGTCTAGGGGCAGGTAGTCAAAGACTCTGTACAAGATTCAAATCAAATGCAGAGTCTTTGACTACCTGCCCTAGACCTGTATCAAATCCAAATAAAATCAAACTTAATTTTAAAGTCCATTTAAAATCGCAACACACTTTAAAGTAAAACAATACAATTTTGCAAACAGAATAATAAAAAGTGTAATGAACAATTCTAATGGTTAGTTAGGATCTTTAAGGGATCATTAGTTCCCTTGAAATATAAAATGGACTTTGTCCAAGATTCAAATCAAATGCAAAGTAAACTTTATATTTCAAGGGAACTAATGATCCCGTAAAGATCCTAACTGCTCGTTCCTCCCTCTACAGGTCTAGTGCTGAAGCACAGGGCAAAAAAATCTTCATGGACGTCTGCCAGGAGGCTGGAATGGTGGAGGTCTTACCCTACCACGAATGTGACGTCATTTCAAGGGAACGACCCAACTATCTCCACTGTCTAGTTCGCCTGCAGGTCCAGAATGTATCGGCTCGTCTACCTGTATTTATAACTGGTGAGATATCAGAATTTCCTATACAGCATTCGTTAAGATTACGTATGTAGCTAATAAATATACTGAACAAAAATATAAAAACGCAACATGCAACAATTTCAAAGATTTTACTGAGTCACAGTTCATATATGAAAATCAGTCAGTTTAAATACATTCATTAGGCCCTAATCTGTGGATTTCAGATATGAATCAGTTGGTCACAGATACCTTAAAAAACAAATGTAGGGGTGTGGATCAGAAAACCAGTCAGTATCTGGTGTGACCACCATTTGCCTCATGCAGCGCGACACATCTCCTTCGCATAGAGTTGATCAGGCTGTTGATTGTGGCCTGTGGAATGTTGTCCCACTCCTCTTCAAATGGCTGTGGGAAGTTGATGGATATTGGCGGGACATGGAACATGCTGTCATACATGTTGATCCCAGAGCATCCCAAACATGCTTAATGGGTGACATGTCTGGTGAGTATGCAGGCCATGGGAAAAACTGGGACATTTTCAGCTTCCAGGAACTGTGTACAGATCCTTGCGACATGGGGCCGTGCATTATCATGTTGAAACATGAGGTGATGGCGGCGGGTGAATGGCACGACAATGGGCCTCAGGATCTCGTCACGGTATCTCTGTGCATTCAAATTGCCATAGATAAAATGCAATTGTGTTCGTTGTCCATAGCTTATGCCTGCCCATACCATAACCCCACTGCCACCATGGGGCACTCTGTTCACAACATTGACATCAGCAAAATGTTTGCCCACACGACGCCAAACACATGGCTGCGGTTGTGAGGCCGGTTGGACGTACTGCCAAAGCCAGCTTATGGTAGAGAAATGAACATTCAATTATCTGGCAACAGCTCTGGTGTACATTCCTGCAGTCAGCATGCCAATTGCATGTTCCCTCAACTTGAGACATCTGTGGCATTGTGTTGTGTGACAAAACTGCACATTTTAGAGTGGTCTTTTATTGTCCCCAGCACAAGGTGCACCTGTGTAATAATCATGCTGTTTAATCAGCTTCTTGATATGTCCCACCTGTCAGGTGGATGGGTTATCTTGGCAAAGGAGAAATGCACACTAACATGGATGTAAAAATGTTTTGCTATTTGTGCATATGGAAAAGTTCTGGGATATTTTATTTCAGCTCATGAATCATGGGACCAACACTTTACATGTTGCGTTTATATATTTGTTCAGTGTACATGGGGATTCTTAGTCGCAAGAATGCTCGTTTCTGACATAATTCATTTATTTATTTTGCAGACACAACGGCAGACAAAGCATTTGCAAAACATGGGATCTTCACAATGAATATTAACTCTTTCCTGCTGATTTCTCAGAGTGACACATGCACAATTTCTTAAGCTGATGGGGCACCGTCCACAGAAGTCCTCAGTACATCAAAATTCTATCACATTCTATTTATAAAGCCCTTTTTTAGTTGTCACAAAGCTGTCAAAGTGATTTAAATTAACCCGACCAAGACTCCAATGAGCAGTGGCAAGGAAAAACTCTATAAGGAAACCTTCAAACCTCAAGAGGAACCACTCAGAAGGGGTGACCCCTTTAAGAAATAAACATTTGTATTCCAAAATCTGCTTTTTAGGGGATTCTTGGGAGTTGGCTCAGAAGTTTGATACATACCGACGATCTAACCCTGATCTAAATCATTGTAGTGTAAGAATACAAAAAAATGAATTAAAAAAAAAAGTTGTTTATATCAAGGCTGTTTTATATTCATGTTATTGTGGTTGTTTTAAAGTCTTGACCTTCAAAACATTTACTTAGATCAACGTTTTGGTTCCTTTGTGTAAATCATTGCATCGTTGCCTTTAAATTTCATGTAGATTTATTTATTCTTAATAATTTTATGACAGATAGATTCTGTATAGATTAACGATGCCATCTGCTTCTGTGTTATATTTGTTCAATTGTGTATTTATTTGTAAAGACATTCATTGTACTTTTGCGATATAAAGAAATTGACAGTGTTCCCCATCTTTTCTTTGGGGCCAAAGGGCCACAGCCACGCAAAAAAACAGAGTGACCATGGTTATTTTCTCTATTTCAGATAAAATACATCTTTATTTCACTTTAACACAGAATAGCGCCTTATGGAAAAATACAATTTATATCACATTTATATTGTCTACGTATAAACCCCTGAATAAAACCAATTATTTGGCGACATTCACATGTCAGAAAGTGAAGACACCTTCATGATGACACGCAATGAGATCAATGCATGTTTTTAACCAACTGTCAAACGAATTAGCCTACAAACGCAGCCACCACAAATTGTCCGCCTATTAGTAAAACATATTTCCGTTGTTTTAAAGGGTCATTGATACAGATTCCAACAATACATTTGGATTATAAACCAGTTTGTTAAGATTTGGAGTTGTCCGGACACTAACATGTTACTTATACCATCACTGATCACCCGCGTCTCCAAAGATGTCGTTCTTTGTGCGCTCCATCTCTGCAAAGTCAAACTCAGTGCCCATCGCACGCTTGTAGATGTCCTTGATGTCGTCACAGGTGGTCTCAAAGTGGGTCGTTGCATCATATGTACGGGAAATAAATATCTGCATAGATATCCCAGAAGCATAGAAGGGAAAGAGAGAAAGTTTGACCATGAATTTAAAATTAGTGGGGGGGGGGGTGTTGCGCCTCCTGGTGCTTTTAAAGAAAACAGCAGGCCAACATGAGGATTAGGACATAATGCACTCACCTGGCTGTCTTTTCCCATGTCAGTTGGTGCATATTGATCACTGATGCTCACAAACCTGAGGCGAGAAGGTTTCAACAGGGTCAGAAACATCAACGAACAGAGGACATGTTACCAGGCCAGTGCAGTACAGTGTGAAAAGGGTATTTACAGCATTGTGTTCCAGTGATGTGAGCCCCTGTCCTAGTAGTATAACAGTTTGTACCATGGCATTGTTGAATACTCGTTTCAGATTGGCTTGAAGGGAATTCTAGAGCATGCATTATTTCCCTATAACGCACGGTATATCGGCACGGTAGAATTCAAAATGGCTATAGTTCATTGTTACAGGTTTTGTTTGAGCTGCTTTTGAAAGCGAAAGTTGAATTGAAAACATTGGTATTGTTGAATTAGACTTTCATAATAGCAAGCTAGGACTGATGGTTTGGTTAGCTAAACTACTAAGGCGGGTTAGTTACCATGGCAACTACTGTAGCTATCTAGCTACTTCAGTAGATGAACACCTTTCTATTCGTTCTCTGGAAATCAATGCAACTCTGTGGAAGGTCAGTTCCACTCCACTAGCATGTAGTGGAACACACTTTTCCTTAGACCATATAGCCCGTTGATTATCCCTTACATACAGTTGAAGTCAGAAGTTTACATACATCTTAGCCAAATACATTTAAACTCCGTTTTTCACAATTCCTGACATTTAATCCTAGTACAAATACCCTGTCTTAGATCAGTTAAAATCACCACTTTATTTTAAGAATGTGAAATGTCATAATAATAGTAGAGAGAATGATTTATTTCAGCTTTTATTCCTTTCATCACATTCCCAGTGGGTCAGAAATTTACATACACTCAATTAGTATTTGGTAGCATTGCCTTTAAATTGTTTAACTTGGGTCAAACGTTTCGGGTAGCCTTCCACAAGCTTCCCACAATAAGTTGGGTGAATTTTGGCCCATTCCTCTTGACAGAGCTGGTGAAACTGAGTCAGGTTTGTAGTCCTCCTTGTTCGCACACACTTTTTCAGTTCTGCCCACACATGTTCTATAGGGTTGAGGTCAGGGCTTTGTGATGGCCACTCCAATACCTTGACTTTGTTGTCCTTAAGCCATTTTGCCACAACTTTGGAAATATGCTTGGGGTCATTGTCCATTTGGAAGACCCATTTGCGACCAAGCTTTAACTTCCTGACTGATGTCTTGAGATGTTGCATCAATATATCCACATAATTTTCCTTCCACATGATGCCATCTATTTTGTGAAGTGCACCAGTCCCTCCTGCAGCAAAGCACCCCCACAGCATGATGCTGCCACCCCCATGCTTCACGGTTGGGATGGTGTTCTTCAGCTTGCAAGCACCCCCTTTTTCCTCCAAACATAACGATGGTCATTATGGCCAAACAGTTCTATTTTTGTTTCATCAGACCAGAGGACATTTCTCCAAAAAGTACGATCTTTGTCCCCATGTGCAGTTGCAAACCGTAGTCTGGCTTTTTTATGGCGGTTTTGGAGCAGTGGCTTCTTCCTTGCCGAGCGGCCTTTCAGGTTATGTCGATATAGGACTCGTTTTACTGTGGATATAGATACATTTGTACCTGTTTCCTCCAGCATCTTCACAGGGTCCTTTGCTGTTGTTCTGGGATTGATTTGCACTTTTCGCACCAAAGTACGTTCATTTCTAGGAGACAGAACGCGTCTCCTTCCTGAGCGGTATGATGGCTATGTGGTCCCATGGTGTTTATACTTACGTACTATTGTTTGTACAGATGAATGTGGTACCTTCAGGCGTTTGGAAATTGCTCTCAAGGATGAACCAGACTTGTGGAGGTCTACAATTTTTTTTCCTGAGGTCTTGGTTGATTTCTTTTGATTTTCCCATGATGTCAAGCAAAGAGGCACTGAGTTTAAAGGTAGGCCTTGAAATACATCCACAGGTATACCTCCAATTGACCCAAATTATGTAAATTAGCATATCAGAAGCTTCTAAAGCCATGACATCATTTTCTGGAATTTTCCAAGCTATTTAAAGGCACAGTCAACTTAGTGTATGTAAACTTCTGACCCACTGGAATTGTGATACAGTGAATTATAAGTAAAATAATCTGTCTGTAAACAATTGTTGGAAAAATTATTTGTGTCATGCACAAAGTTGATGTCCTAACAGACTTGCCAAAACTATAGTTTGTTAACAAGAAATGTGTGGAGTGGTTGAAAAACGAGTTCTAATGACTCCAACCTAAGTGTATGTAAACTTCCGACTTCAACTGTACCTGTGTGCCACAAGACTGTGTTAGCCTGCTGTGCGAAAGCCTAGGCATTAGCTTAGGGAGCCAACAAATTCATAATCTGTGTGTGGTGCCAATTCTGCCAAACCCCTCAGTTAAATTATGCAGTGTTGGAACTTTAAACCAATAAACCTATAAAAAAACAGTGTGAGGTTTCACAGCCTCTTCCAAATTTCTCACTTCTGCATTAACTGGATTAACTGGCTGTGGAAAGCCTAGGCATTAGCTTAGGGAGCCAACAAATTCATAATCTGTGTGTGGTGCCAATTCTGCCAAACCCCTCAGTTAAATTGGGCTTGGCAGTTGGTTTATAATTTCCCCACTTAAAGCTAAACTTAAAAATCAATTAATCCCTTTGAAAACGGCCTATGTGCCTATGTGCAATCGATATGAGTCAGAAACAGATTCAGGTGTCAAAATTGACTACAAAATGTAAATAGGACAATTTTGGTTAGGGAAAGGGGGATACCAAGGCAGTTGTACAACTGAATGCATTCAACTGAAATGTGTCAAACGCATTTAACCCAACCCCTCTGAATCAGAGAGGTGCGGGGGGCTGCTTAATCGATATCCACGTATTTGGCGCCTGGCGACCAGTAGGTTAACTGCCTTGCCGACAGATGTTTACCTTGTTGGTTACTGGCCCAGCGCGCCTACCCGCCAGGCTACCTGCCACCCCTATATAAAGTCAGTCTCGTCTAACACGGAGTTTGGAACATTGTGCGTCACAACTGGTAAATGAAGGTTGGGTTTTGATTTGATGATGTCCCTTTGCCCACGAACATGGGGTGAACAGATGCGGTGATTACCCTCTATCCAATAGCATATACAGCAACTCCGACTTTGTTTACATAATACAACACGTCGCACATTTTCTTATTTGAGAAATACAGCACCAGACACCTTAGCTGGATGTAAAATTGCACAACTAAAACATCTTTGGCAAAAACGTCAACATTATTTACAGATTTCTTGAGTTGAGTTATCTTAGATTCATTCTGGGTATTTTGAGGAAGTGAAAGAGGCCTCCGCATCTACAGTGTCTCATGGGGGACAAACATCATTAACCAAACGCAGAAACCGTTCAGGAAACACCTCAAAGACTAAAATATCATTTTTCTAAAGAGCATCAGAAAAACGTGCCAATCAGCTCCAAGTTTTCATTTACAGAATAAAGTTCAATGTGTTTCCATCGCATTTGCATTTTCAACTCTACCGATAGTTCTCTCACAAAAACGGTTAAGTTTAATAGCAAATGTGCTTACTTTGGCCTTGACACATGCGCTCTAACCAACAGCTCGTAGATACAGTGCAGGTATGCTGTACGGGTAAGGCTAGTCTACATGATGAGATTAGGGCTAAAAGCGAGAATATTTTTTGTTGTTGTCAAAAAACAAGCAACGATCATCAGGTCACCAGAATAAAGACCCTCGATATTTATTGGAAAGGAGTATCAAGATCACTGTGAAGTTAATCATAATTTATTTCATCTGTAGCCTAATAAACTGCATGGTTTCCCGAGTCGTAATGGGAGGACCACACACCATATTATCGCGTTAAGTTTACTTCAATATTTTATTTATTTATTTTACCTTTATTTAACTAGGCAAGTCAGTTAAGAACAACTTATTATTTACACTGACGGCCTACACCGGCCAAACCCGGACGACGCTGGGCCAATTGTGCGCCGCCCTATGGGACTCCCAATCATGGTCGGTTGTGATACAGCCTGGAATCGAACAAGGGGGTCTGTAGTGACGCCTCAAGCACTGAGATGCAGTGCCCTAGACCGCTGCGCCAATATTTGCGCATAAAAAAGGCATTTCCAACCAACATTTCTCGCATAATTAATTATACAGACACAAAAAGATTCCACCATGTCAAATAAATAAATTGTGTCTATTTATAAAATTGTACCGAAACGTCCTGTTTCCGTCATATTTTTTAAATACTGTATGACTTTACTCGCATAAAAACTGGATGGAAACGTGGTTAGTAAAATGCTTATTTACGGGTCCTTTTCCAACAATGCAGAGTTAAAGAGATTAGATAGACACACTGAGTGTACAAAACATTAGGAACACCTGCTCTTTCCATGATAGACTGACCAGGTGAATGCTATAATCCCTTATTGATGTCACTTGTTAAATCCAGTTCAAATCAGTGTAGATGATGGTGAGGAGACAGGTTAAATAAGGATTTTTAAGCCTTGAGACAATTGAGACATGGATTGTGTATGTGTGCCATTCAGAGGACGAATGGGCAAGACAAAAGATTTTCAGTGTTTTCAGAAAGTATTCACACCCCATTTTGTTGTGTTACAGACAAATTTTAAATAGATGAAATGTAGATGTTTTTGTCACTGGCCTACACACAATACCCCATAATGTCAAAGTGGAAATATGTTGTTTTTCTAAATGTGTACAAATTAATTACAAATGAAAAGCTGAAATGTATTGAGTCAATAAGTATTCAACCCCTTTGTTATGGCAAGCCTAAATAAGTTCAGGAGAAAACATTTGCT